ATATATATATAATCAAGGTCATATTCTGGCTCTCATGGGCTTCTTTTAATTGTCTTCACGTTCAACTTGAACTTACATATGAGCAGTTGATGGTCTATCCACAGTCCACTCCTGGCCTTGTTTTGGCTAAAGATATTGAGCTTTTCCATCACCTCTTGTAGTCAGTCAGATTCCTGTGTACTCCATCTGGCAAAGTCCATATGTATAGCCACTGTTTGTGTTGTTGAAAAAAGATACTTGAGTTGAATAAGTCATTGGTCTTGCAAAATTCTGTCATGCAATCTCCAGCCTTATTTGTATCACCAAGGCCATATTTTTCAACTATTGGTGATTCTTCAACAAAGAAGAATCTATAGATATAGACGATCTGATTTCTGTGCATTCCTTCTGGTGAGGTCCATGTGTACAGCTGCCATTTGTGTTGTTGAAAAAAGATGTTGGCAACAAGTAAGTGGTTGGTCTTGCAAAATTCTGTCATGTGATCTCCACTGTCATTTCTATCACCAAGGCTGTATTTTCCAACTACCAGTGATTCTTTGTTTCCAGCTTTTGCATTCCAATCACCAGTAATCATCAATACATCTTGATTGCATGTTTGGTGAATTTCAGACTGCAGAAGTTGGTAAAAATCTTCAATATCCTTGTCTTTGGCTTTAGTTGTTGGTGCATAAATTTGAGTAATAGTAGTATTAATTGGTTTTCCCTGTAGGCCTATGAGTATTAGCCTATAATTGACAACACTGTACTTGAGGATAGATCTTGAAACACTCTTTGTGACAATGAATGCCACACCATTCCTCTTCAATTTGTCATTCCCGGCATAGTAGACTGTATGATTGTATGATTCAAAATGACCAAAACCAGTCTATTTCAGTTCACTAAAGTGCCTAAGGCACTTGACTGCTAGCCAGAGGGTTGGCGATTCAAACCCACCAGCCACTCCTCGGAAGAAAGGTTGGGCAATCAACTTCTGTAGTGATACTGCCATGGAAACCCAAGGAGAGGTCACTATGAGTTGGGTTTGACTCAAGGGCACATAACAACAACAACAATGCCTAGGATATCAGTCTTTCTGTGTTCCATTTCATTTTGACAACTTCTAATTTTCCATTCATACTTCATACATTCCATGTTCTGATTATTAAGGGATGTTTGCAGCTGTTTCTTCCCATTTTGAGTCATGCCCTATTAGCAAATGGAGATCCCAAATACTTTGTCCATCCATATCACTAAGGTCAACTCTGCTTGGAAGAGACAGCTCTTCCCCACTCATGTTTTGAGTTCCTTCCAAACTGAGGGATTAATCTCTGGCACTATATCAGACAATGTTTCAGGGCTATTCATAAAGTTTTCAAGTGATATATCAGACAGTGTTTCACTGCTATTCATAAGGTTTTCACTGGCCAATACTTTGAGAAATGGATGGACCCTTCCTTCTTCTGAGTCTGTCTTTGTCTGGAAGCTTCATTGAACATTGTTCACCAGGGGTGACCCTGCTAGTATTTTAAATACTGGTGGTATAGCTCCTAGCCACAGCAATACACAAGCCACCACAGTATGACAAACTGACTGACAGTTTACAGCCTTGGAATCCCTGTGTGGGGGCAGTTTTAGTCTATCCTACAGGGTTGCTATGAGTTGGATTCAACTCTACAGCAATAGGTTTGTTTTGTTTGTTTGTTTGGCCTTTTGGGACATTTGGAGTCTTTTTTCTTAGCTTGTGTGCAGGTAATGTTTTAACAAAGATTTCCTCAAAAGCCAGAGGCAGGGAAACACACACACACACACACACACACAGAGAATGGACCAAAAACCTCTTCCAGTCCTCGCAAATTGGCTCTGTGCTGGGGCTCTCCTTCAGCACTTAGCCAGGATTTCAGTGAATTTGGGGATACCCAAGGTGAAAGCATAGAATCTTCTCGGGTAATTTCTGTACATATATATCTTACCCTGGGCATGCATGTGGCTTTCTCAATTCCCCTATATTCACACTGCTTTTGAAAGTCTTAATTTCCAAAAGAAACTCTCTTCAGCCTCTCTTTGCAGCCTAGTGTATACCTTTGTGACACTCTTTAGCTTCTGGCTGCTACAGGCAGCCTAAGTTATAAAAGACACATTCAGTAATTTACTTATAAAGTCTACTCTGCTCTGCCTAAAGCCAAAGATCAGGCTCTCTTTCTCAGAATGTAGGTCATAGCTACCATGTTAAGACAGTCACACTGAGTCAGGAATGGTGTAAGTAGAAAACCAAAACTTTCTTACCATTTATATGCTATCTTTTTCTGGATTGAGTGTTCATTTAGTTGTTGCAACTCTTTCACAAGTTTCCAGAGTTACCATTGATTCTTCCAATTTCATATTTTCTATATGTATATTTTTTAGAAATACAGATGTGAAAATGACACATGGCTTGTCATGGCAGTCACAATTTGGGAGGAAAAATATGATGATTAATACTTGTCAAGCCCTTGATTTGTACCAGCCACCATATTAGTGCTTTCATGCACATTATTACATCACTCCATCCTGGTAATGAGCTTGAGTATAGGTTCTCTCATGAGTATCTGGGGATGAGGAGACATGGGCTCAAGGGGCTGCAGGTAGTAGAATGGCATTGGGATTTGAGCTCACTAAGCTGGAAGCCTCCCCTTACTAGAGGCCGAGTAACTGACATGGCAGCTGAGTGACCTTCTCTTGTTCTTTCATAGAGACTGTGCACCCCAGTGTACTGCAGGTACCAGTTCCATAAGACTCCAATTCATGAGACGGAGGGGCAGCCCCATGGAACCCACGTTTACTTTCAGGACATCAATGTCATTCTCCTTGGGGCATTGTGTCCTAGTGACCTGAAAGAATACCTGGAAGGGCCACCCATGGTGGTGGAAGTTCATGACCGTGACCTCAAGTCAGAGGAGTATTCCCGAAAGCCCACCCTATTTGGGGAGGACCCCCTGGATACATGCCTCAACCTTCAGGCCCTCATCTCTCCCAAACAGACGGAGACTAACCCCTTTGAATCCCACAACAAGATGTGGAATCCTTATGGGGTCGCCCAGGTCAGCTTTGCTGACCTCCTTCTTGGCCACACATACCTGAACCTGTTTGTTCCCATCCACAGCTGTAAGCCCAAGCCCACAAACAAAGACCATGACAGCAGGAGCAGGAAGGTTGTGGGATTTCGGGTTCCAACAGACAATCTCCAGCATGGCTCGATGCCCATGGGCAACTACCTAGAGGCAAATTCCCTCCTCAAGCTGCGAGTGGACCTGGCAGTGCCACTGCAATGCAGGGCTGAAGCTCCTGACCGAGACCTGGTAGGCACCCAGTTTGCCCTCATCATTTTTGTGTTCGACTCTAGGAAGACCTTTCTCCTCCACCACCTGCTGCAGGATATCACCATGATCAATGCCAAGGCTCTGGACCTGGACTCCTACCCTCTCAGGAATATCCAGCAGATCCTGTCAGCCTTTAAGGTACGAGTGAAGGTTCAGGACCAGCAGGACCTGGATGTGCTCACTGGCTTCCACCTACTGGATGGGAAGATCCACGTCTTCATTTTGGAAGGCTTAGCTGACCAAGGCTTGAGGCGGCTGTGGGAGATCCACCAAAGCCGGTAGGTGGTTGCTTTCTATTTTAATAAAAATGGTGAAAGTGGGATGTCTCATGACTGAAGAGATCTCTCAAAGCCAAGCCCAGGTTCATTGCTCTTATCTGTGTGATTGAGATGTTGATTCAATTCCTCTGGGGGGGGGCGGTGTATACTGTAAAGCGTTTAGGGCTTGATAGCAGGAAGAATTGGTTGTTGTTTTTGTTACCGGTGCTGCTCTGACAAGAATATACCAAAAATGGGATGGCTTTAACAAACAGGAGTTTATTCTCTTATAGTTTGGAGGCTTTAAGTCCAAGTTCAAATGCCAGGATCTAGGAGCTGGGTGAAAGCCCTTCAACCTTGGGCTTCAGCTCTGCCTCCTGCTCCCGGCCCACTGAAGCTAGAGGCTTTTCTTCACTCAGACAGCTGATGGCTGCTGAGACTGACAAGCCCTGGGTTGACAAGTAAAAAGTCTCAGTCCCGATGTTACCAAACCACACAACAGGCCATTAATTCAAGTCCACTGAAAGTCCCAAGGTTGGCAGAGCATGGCAAGCTGCTGAACAACAACACGGCTACATGCCATTCAAGCATGTCATAAGCTAGAGACCATTCCCTAAGGCGCTTCCTTATATACACATCCCTAAGGCAGCTACTCAGCTGCTCACAGTAGATTCCACCATGGAGTTGATTACCAGTCTCATCATGGGGAATACTACATCCAGCTGCCTAGCCACTCAACCAGGCCTAGCAAAGTTGACACACAAACTTAACTACCACAGTTGTCTTTGATTGAAGTGAAGGATTTTAGGATATAGGAGAGAGAGAAGTTAGATTGGGAAAATGGGTTCTGACTTCAGGCTTGTGAATTACATGGTAGTGGTTATTTCCAGATTTTGAGTATTACAAATAAAGCTGCTATGAACAATCATGTACAGGTTTGTGTGAACATAATTTCTCATTTTGCTGGGATAAATACCGAGGAGTGAGGTTGCTGGATCATATGATATGGTAAGTGTATGTTTTAGGACAGAGGAGCAGTAAGCCACAGGGGTCCAGGTGAGGAGAGAGAACCCAGGCACGCCCAAAGCAATAGGATGGGAGAGCAGGAGAAAGGGGATTAAAAGCCAGGAACCTAGACAGAGGAGCAGTGAGCTGCAGGGATCCAGGCGAGGAGAGAGAACTCTGGCATGCCCAAAGCAGCAGGGCAGGAGAGCGGGAAAAGGGCATTAAAAGCCAGGAACCTGGACAGAAGAGCAGTCAGCCACAGCGATCCAGGTAAGGAGAGGGAACTCGGGCATGCCCAAAGCAGCAGGGCAGAAGAGCAGGAAAATGGGGATTAAAAGGTCCAGGAACCCAGAGAGAGGAGGCGTCAGCCACAGGACCCAGGGAAGAGTGGTACAAGAGGTTTCCAACAGGGAAACAAACTTGTCTGGCGGTTTGTCCTACCGTGGTGACGTGTTGATGTGAGTTTTGGGGCTGAGCCACTGGTGTTTCAAACCCAGCGGATTGCACATGGTACACAGGTATCTGCCCAGCTTACAGACTGAGACAGACTAGGAAGAAGGAAGAGGCCGTCCACTTCTCAAAGAATTGGCCAGGGAAAACCTTATGAATAGCAAAGAAAC